ATTATTAGGGCAGTGTGTTTGGCCCGCCCCAGTTTTACCTTTTTGTCGGCTATGTACCGAGCTTATTTCAGAGAGGAGGCCCTGTTGATTTTACTGATGACTTGAAAGTTGCCTACCGATGCAAACAGACGGATCACGACGACGTTTTTGAACTCCTGAACAGGGACCTTCAGGATTTTGTTCAGTGGTGCTGCACGTGACGTCGATCACTTTTATGTCACATATGTTCAGATGTGGTAGTTGGCGACGATCAGCGGCCTCAAGTAGACCTCGACGGTCACGACGCAAATGTGTCAGCTACAATTAAGGGTCTGGGTGTGTGCCCTATTCCAAGAGGCTCGATCTTTCATAAAATTACAATCCGATTGCCGAATCCACCGAATTCGGCATCCGTAGTGAAGGAGTTCGTGGTCTTTAATCCCTCGGCCTGGTGTCAGCTCAAGTGAACTGACGCTGATTCTTCGACGAACTAATCAGTAAGTAAATTTTTCAGCCGGTTTTGAGCAACTGTTTATTTATGAATCCGTGATTGAAACAGAGTCCCAATGTCATGAAAAAAATGGGGACTTCAAAATCCCACTATACTCTTGAAAATTATTTCTGTCTTACAGTACCGTCATTTTGTGAACTGCAGTCCTTTTTCCTCGATAGTCTTAATAATCCAAAACCCGACGAACTAGAAAAGTTCTCTTCCCCGATTGGTCTATCTAAACTGTCTACTGATTTTATAAATGTTTGTGCCCAGTCCAATAAATGCTGTTAGACCTCTTTGTTTATTTGGTGGACTAGTTGGTTGACGGATCTTTAATGCAATGAATAATTACATCCTGACCGTTTTCATTAATTGCGTCAGTTCCTACTTCACTCCTTATCGTAATGTAACAGACCACGAGATTAAATGTGTTGCTTAAGTGAAGTGAAGAACGTCACTTGCGCGCGGACCCAGGATGGGGACTGTGTGATGAAGAGTCAGTGAAGATGCCGGTGCCCTTTCCATTCGCAACTGCTAACCTCTGTCCCGCAACTATCACTGCAACAGATCATCTTGTTGTCTCTCACGTCTCTCACCTCCAAATGCCTCCAGCTTTGCACTCCCTACCGGCGATTTCACAGGCATGACAGAACACTTCCCGCCCAAGATGGGACCTTTGCGCATGTAGTACTCCTTCTTCTTATTTTAAACTGTACCTTTATTGTACTTTTACATTGCTATTGCCTTTGAATAGTTTTCATACGTTTCGGCTACTTGTTCTTATGACTTCTACTCTTATGTGTTCGCTATAATTTTTTCAATTCTGTCCAGTATTCCGATGGACTGAGAAACGACTGCAGGCGCTTGCTTATCCGTGTGTGCCAACGTCAACGTCTTCGACCGCTACATTTATAGTGGACCCCTTTTCACGGAATATTCAGTATGTATTTTGTTGTCTCTTGTATTGTCGGTTTCTGATTTCCTTCGTATATCTACCGTGAAGAAGGAACCTCGTCGTGAGCAAGACCCAATTTTATAGGAATCTTCCTTACCTTATCTGGCTCCTTCCTCCTCGGCCCCCTCAAATTGGGAGTGCTTTTTGACAACTATGAAATTTCCTAAGTCGAATCCAACTCGTCAGACACAGTTTTAGGCCCACAGCTCCCAATTCGGATAAAGATAATCCTAATGCCGACATGACATCTTCCATGAGAATTGCCATAAGGACAATAAACCGTGCTATTAAGGACAGGATAGCAAAGAACCCGCCAATAAATCGTAAGCGGAGTGTCGTTATGAGCAGTGTTCCAAGGTATGCATCACGCATTCCAAAGGAACTAGTAGCTTATGGACTAGATGGCCTTAATGATTACTCCATCACTGTTCCGCACGATTGTGACATTATCATTGCATAAAAAGCTTCGCGGGTGGACAAGAAGAGTCAGGCCGTGACCTAAGATCACCCCCAAGGCCCCTGGAAATAATTCCCGAAAGTGGATCCCAGAGAACGATTCTTCAGGAAGAAAAGTTTGCCCTACTGAATTCTCACAGGGATGTTTTTCTCATACGGACTACAGACCGAAGGAAAGGCCGAAAATAACGAAGCTTTGGGCGGAATTATGAGAGAGGACGGAAGGAGGAGGCAAAGGGTTGTAAATTAATGATGTCAAAAGAGTTCAGGCCAAGGAGTCATTCTTGCAGACAAAACCCGTCACAATGACAACTGGGCCTCCTCAACAAGAAAATCACTGTGGGCCACCTCCGCAAACATACAAAGCTTTCCAGTGAACTTAACGAAGTCAAGAACTTAGTTGATGAAAGTGATTCAGACAACGATTTTCTCACAAAAGTGGCTTATTTTTAAAGAGGCTGGAATATCCCTCAATAGATCTCGACACTTAAGAGTAGGTAGACCAAACGGAAGAGAATTACTTATATTTACGTCATTTGCCAGCTGACCACCACCCCCTAATTAAATAATCCGCCTATTACGCATTTTCAGGGCAATGGGCAAAATTTTCTGTCAGAACGCTACTTTTGCAATATAGACCAGAGGAAGACAACAAAGGTATCCACTCGTCGCGCGAAG